ACTTAAACTGTAGCGTACGATGCGTGCAGATAAAATGGGTAGTTTTCAAATGTACTAAATATGAACATCCTGCCAGCCGCATGGGCAAAATGTGCACGATGCAATTCGCTTTTTCCCAAGCTATTAAAAAGTAAAAATGTCACAGTGATCAGCATAAAAAGACGGATTGTTGAACAGAAGTACATGTTAACTTCAAGATAGACATTGTTAGCCGATTAAGTCCGTTGTACAAAATCTATGGTACGGCATGCGGCAGACATACGGTATAACTTATTTAGAATTACCGAAGAGTGATTTTTATTTTACTTGCTTACTTTACTAACCGTTTGATAGTGACAAAAAGCTAAATAATTAGTAACAAAGTTTCTTTTCAAAAATATAAGTTTTTGTTTAACGGCACTTATGACATAGTATTGGCAGTATGGAACCCACGTTAATATCCCAGGTTGGCTGCCTTGATGTTTCCTTGGGAAAGGCGTTTAACACACTATAATTTGTTAAAGATGCCTTTTAGAAAATTACAAATTCTTGACGCCACTGAATCTGATAGGACATCTACAGAAACAAAACTGAACCAGCAAGAAATGCAGTAATATTTAGTTCTATGTCTTTAGTGACTGCAAACAATACATCTTCCTGTTTGATCTATCTATCTATCTATCTATCTATCTATCTATCTATCTATCTATCTATCTATCTATCTATCTATCTATCTATCTATCTATCTATCTATCTATCTATCTATCTATCTATCTATCTATCTATCTATCTATCTATATATATATATATCTATATATATATATATATATATATATATCTCTATCTATCTATATATATATATATATATATATATATATATATATTTATTTATTTATATATATAAAAGTGTTTGTGTATCTATCTATAAATCTATCTATCTATCTATCTATCTATCTATCTATCTATCTATCTATCTATCTATCTATCTATATATATATGTCTATATATATATATATATATATATATATATATATATATATATATATATATATATATATATATATATATATATATATAACATTTGATAACCACCCAATGTTGTAATATGTCCTTTACAACCATATAAATGCTTATGATAATTAAATATTGACTACTGACTAAAGTGTTTCACATTTTATATATAATACCATCTTCTTGACCACTCCATATTTTAGTGAGCACATGACATCTCAAGACACTATGTCCCTTCTTAAGATTCGCTCTAAGAATGAAAACGATGACATTGTCCTTGGTGGATTCAAACCTTTACTTCAGTGCTAGGGCCACACTAATCAGAAATAAATAAATTACAAATCGAGATTTATTAATTGCCTTTTGCCTTTTGCCCCAAATACGAAGTACATTTAGATGAGCATACAAAACACAACCGGCAAACACCATGTATATATTTATAAAACTGGTAGTCGAAACGAAATTTATCCCCCCCCCCCTAACTCCAACTTGCACAGTCACGTATACACATGTCGCTATTTCAGGGCTATGTAACTATTGTAATGACCTCTTTACCTGAATTAGCATCATAACTAAGCAATCACATCGCACGACAGTGTAAGCAAGTGAAAAAACTCATAAAAATTCAAACAGCGTCTCAACAAAACCTGATAAAATCATACCGAAATTGAAAACGAACATTACTCTTAAAAGTCTGACAGTAAAACAAAAGGCAGATAAAACAAAACATTCTGCGAACATATGACAAGGCGCGACATTCGAATATCTTGATACCATGATACTTGTGTTATTATTAGCAAAACAGACACATTAGGAGTCTGGCTTTGTATTGAATGAAAAACTGCCTTATAACTTGAGAACGGCTCTGACCAAATTAAATGAATTACATGGATGCTCAAGGTATATTGTAAAACTAATACAGACTGGTCAATCAATAAAAAATGAAAATTTGTAAACATAAGTAACCAAATATCCATAATTACAAAACACATGAATGTGTATAAAGAAATCATCCTCAATACAATCCGGTGAAAATCAAATACAAAACAAAAAAAAATGATCCAGTTACTAGAACCAAATACAAAGTATTAAAAGCCGGAACACTAAACAGCGAAAATCCTGACCGACAGAGATAGATAAAAATCTAACAAACCAATACGTCCAAACGAACGTTATTCACAGCCTCATGATCAATTGAGTTTCTTCACGCTCCTCTCTAAAATCGAAAGGCTTGTTTAGTTATATCTTTCTCATGTATTCCATTTTATTTTGACTGGAATGATAGCACATAACATTTTTAGGAAACATACGATAGGGAGAGATAGTGTTTCTCAACGTGCACTTGTATGCGCCTTAGTAATCTTCAAAAAAATATTATCGGTTTATCCTAGAATTTAGTACCCAAATAGTAATTTTATCAAAGTCAGTTCACACCTGATTATCGATCTGCATTTTGTCATAACAAATTTCCAGATTAAAATTGTCAAACACCACAGATATGAAATGATTTTATTGTGATATCATAGTGCGACATTCAATCTAACTTTTTTATTAACCCTCTGTGATGAGTCGAATTTTGAAACGTGTTGAAACCCATGGTTAAATAAATTTCAAGTTAACATAATTGAAGCAAAAATATCTGGTGGAAGTTCAATAATATTTCTTCATTTCATCTCAGCATAAAAGGAATTATCTTAAACCACAGTTGAATCTGACCCAGTCATTTCCTGTGGTACGAGGGACACACATCAAAATAATTGAGTTTTCAAAGGACGCTAATTGTGAACTATGTTAGGCTAGTGAAACAGACAACAGAGACTAGACATTGGATTTAGAGGGAAAATTTTAGGAACATGTATTTCTGATTGGCAATTGAAACGTAAGAGCATACACATTGAGAAACCATTTAAGAACTATCTCTTGGAAAATCCGTCAGTTAGATTTTTCTTGAGAGGAGATAGTCAAACTCCAGGACGCACTGTAGTGGTCTCGAGAAATTGCCATGAATGCAGATAGTTGTCTTAGAGAGAAAACATACTAGGCTAGAACTGTCCGTTTGGAAAAAAAGAAACGGCAGTAGTAAGGTACGCAATTTTTGTTTCAAATTTAATATGCTATTTCCTTTGATTGTTTGCAGATATGATATATTATGATTCACGCTTGTAATCGTGTATTCATTTCGTAGGACTTGGTTGATATTACGCATAAATATTTGAGCGTCAACTGCATTGAATAGCCAAATGTAAATGAGTTGTATTGTGATGCATGCTGACATATACGCTACATTTGTCTGTAGAGGCACATGTGAATTAAGGTCTCGCAGTAAATCTGAATGATACTGAGTAAGGTCACGTGAGACTAGAATTATACAGCATATCTAGCTAAATCTGAGCACGAGAAATATAGTTAATATTTTCCACGTAAATGTGTAGTAGTATTTGTCTAGCTAGAGACATACTCAATATTTAAGAGGAAAGCTTCATAATTCGAGTTCAATCTTCACAATTCATACTCCGAACAAGAGAATGGAAAGAAGGAATACGGAGGGAACTCGATGAGCAAAAATGGAAAGCTGTGTCTTCGGGATGTCAGGACTCAAAATAACCACTCGAGTACATGATGAAATTTGCATGCTATATTAAATTCTGTCATTGATCATCAGTTGAGAAGAAAGTGAATTTTGCTAGGCTTTAATTGAATACGTAAATTAGTAAGTCCTTTGTAGGGAAATTGAATGTTGCTTTTTCTTTATGTAATTTTATTAACAGTTTGTATTTTATTCATTAAAGGGGGCTCATTGTTTTATTTCTTTCAATACTTTGCTCAGCTATCTGTAAAGTTCCATCTATCCGTCCACACTGGGTAATTACATTGTGGGAGATCATTCCCTAGATACGACTCCGAATTAAAAGGAGGAGGGTTTAATATTTAAATCCCCCATATCGCACCCTCCTCATTGACCTCGTTTTGAAATATAACCTTTAATCATATGAAATACAAAGTTATTCATTAAGATAGAAGACATGATAAATAAAGCAACAGCTGAATCTTATATATAGCAGAGTTGTTCATATATTCTTTTTAAATGGCATATAGATTCTCTCTCATATATATATATATATATATATATATATATATATATATATATATATATATATATATATATATATATATATATATATATATATATATATATAAGATAGATATGTTCAGGAATACTGCATTGATGGCAGACAAATTTTTGTTCATAACATCATGTAAATAAATAAGGCAAATGTGCTATTCATACATTTATCCTGTATATATTTAGCAGTTCGAGTTGTTCATATATACTGTATATATGTCCAAATGTTGTCCATAAATTCTGCAAATGTGGCATGAAAAGTTGTTCATAAATCCTGTATCTATGGCAGATAGAGTTATTCATAAACTGTACGTATGGCACTTAGAGTTGTTCATAAATCCTGTATATATGGTACATACATTTGGTCATAAAGCTGTATATATGGCAGATAGAGTTATTCTTAAACTGTATATATGGCACTTAGAGTTGTTCATAAATCCTGTATATATGGTACATTCATTTGGTCATAAATCTGTATGTATATATATATATATATATATATATATATATATATATATATATATATATATATATATATATGGCAGACGGAGTTAGTCATAAATATGTATGTATGGCAGATTGAGTTTTTCATATACCCTATCTATTTTTACGTGTACGCTCGTACAAAAGTAACAAAGAAAAGAATGAAACCAACTAACTTTGTCTGTGTCATTTAGATTTTTAACGTAGCTTTGACACTTTTTTCAGTCATATCCCTACGATGTATGCATGTGACAATTTATATTGATGTACAGCATTGGGTCTAGCACTGTCTAGTGATGTCTAGCACTGATGTCCCACCCAGTCACATTATCCTGACACAAGGTCAATCGGTCCTAACACTAACATCTTAATGCTGAGTACCATTTTTTGTAAGTCTTTGGTATGACTCGGACAGCGTTTGAAACCGCGACCTCCCGCATCCTAAGCGGATGCTTTAACTACTAGGCCATTGGATCGGTCCTCAGCTAACTTTGTAAATTTAAAAACGAAATAAGTTATTTCCAAAAAACCCACAGTAAAAATATGAAGAAAAAAACATTACAGTTTGTGAATATAATCCAAAAATTAATCAGGAATCTAAAAATATAAGTCATATCACTAAAGAGTCTTAAATGAATCCAAGTTAAAATCTGTGAAGTTCCAAGATGGCGGACAATGACGTCTGATGAATGCAGTATTATACTGATATGTCAGCAATTCCTCGTTGAATTATATGAAATAAGAATAATACTCCGACTTTAGAATTCTGAAGAATTTCAAACAAATATCTTTATCGATGAATATTGATAAAAAAAGAGCATTTATGTATGTTTTCCAACGAATATATAATATTGAATATAAAAAACTGAAGAATTTTGAAACAATCTGGCAACAACACCAAAATCACATTGAGCTCTAAAGGTAATATTTACGACTCACAAATTCACTACAAAAGGTATAATTTTAACCCATGAAACGATGGTTCACGTGGTCACTTAGCTGAAACAACGCAGTAAAACAAATGCCAATTTGCACGTAAGCTATGGAAGAGCTTAAATCTACTGAACAAATCTTTACTATCAGATTAAGTAAAAAAAAAGGTGTTTACAAAATAGAGTGATCAAGTAAGCGAAGTCTGACATTGATTACGACCAATGGTTTTCACCGCGTGTTTATGAATATACGAACCAAGGTCAGAACTAGGTCAGCTAAAAATGAAAATGTAGCAATATGCTGCGTTTATCAGGTCAAAATAGAAAACAAAATTTTCCACACAAAAAAAATCAAATTCAGTGAATAAAGTTATCATTTATCATTACATAAACCTAATGAAATTAACAAAATAAAAAAGAATTTAAAACTAATACACAAGTAATTAAAATTCATATACGAGAGAGGGGGAGGCAGCTAGATTGACAAACATACAGACAGAGAGACAGACATACATACAGATAGACAGACAGACAAATATATAGAAAGAGAGATATATAGGTGGTAGAGAGTGTTAGTTATAAATCTTGATTAATAATATTAAGGATAATAAAAGGAACATACACAGTACTAATGTAAATATCATTTAAAAATAAAAAAATCGAACGAAACATAGAATAATGGATGAAGAGAGAATAGAACAATAACAAATGAGGGACGGTTAGATAGAATAAATAAAGAAAGGAAGAAAGAATGGGGAAAATGCGGGATTGACATAGCTAGACAAAAACGAAAGGAAAGATTGATAGGAAAGAAAAAATATGATACTACTCACCAGTGGAATCAACTCCAATCATAAAAAGAGAGAAGACAATTATTATAACCATGTTTTGCACCTTCACATGAAATAACGAAGTCGTTAATAGCTTTACTCCCGAGGACTTTTATGCAATGGTAATACATGAATATAATTACAAGATTAGGAGCATGACGACTGACCGTAATTTCACTTACTCTACTGTCACTCAACGATCAGTAAACATAAACTCTCTTGGGCACTAAATTATTGCTTCTCTAACATGTTATATATATATATATATATATATATATATATATATATATATATATATATATATATATATATATATATATATATATATATATATATATATATATATATATATATATCTGCTACTCAACAGGTGTTGGAAAAAAATATACGTCATACTATACCCAAACAAGCCAACTGATTAGCTGTTAATCAGTTCTTGTTGGTTCACAAAATCATTTTCCTGAAAGGTTTGATTAGTACAGAGTTGAAAGCAAAACCTACCTTCAATCGAAGCGAAAATCTATCAATCCGTCTTAAAATTCAGGGAATAACTCACTTCCGATGTCGCAGGCAGTAGACGGATTGTTATCACCTCCTATATGCTGAATTTATATATGTACATATGTTACTCTTTTATCGATTGTTTCTACTGTACCATTTTTCCTAACTTATGTATGTATGTATGTATGTATGTATGTATGTATGTATGTATGTATGTATGTATGTATGTATGTATGTATGTATGTATGTATGTATGTATGTATGTATGTATGTATGTATGTATGTATGTATGTATGTATGCATGTATGTATGTATGTATTTATGCTCATTTTTTTCTCCCTTAACTTTACATTGTCAAGATCGTTTAGTATTTACAGATATTACACACCTTCATATTGTACTCCTCGCGCTTAATTCAAAGGAACAATTTCTAACGTAGACAATATTTTTAATGAATGAACTAAAGCATATATTTCATGGACTGCCACATACCAGCAAATATTTCATAGACTGACACATACAAACTGCTTTGACACATTCCGCGTTTACTTTTTTGATACAATGTTTCAGATTTAGGTTAGAAATAGACGCGATACAGGGTCCTAACAATAATACGCAAATTATTCACATAAACTGTCTTCTTTAACTGATAATAGAAATGGCAAAAATATACTTACAATATTACATCCTGAATTTCCTCAAATATATACTTTCGTTATTCCGTAAATCTGAATTACATAATCCATATCATGGGTTATCAAGTTTGTTTACACATTTTGAAACTGTACTGTAATTTTGAGTATATTCCAAGTGATGTAACATACTCCTTACTACACTCAAAATAAAATAAACATTAAATTCCACAGCATCTTTTCGATAATTGCAATGGAACGGCTTCATCATCCAATGACAAAATAAACACGCATGCCGATGTAAACACACTTCAAAACGATTAAATTGGCAGACGCTGCTGGAATCAGGTGCAAGTCACTTCATGTAGATAATTTCAGACAATAATCAAATGCTTGCGTTGAATCGACAAAAATACCGTTGAGTTTCAAGTTGCAGGAATACAATGTTGACATCCTTGTAGTAGGATTCTATCTTCATGCTGTTGACATCATTGTAGTAGGGTTCTATCGTCATTCTGTTGACATTCTTGTAGTAGGATTTTATCTTCATTCTGTTGACATCATTGTAGTAGGATTTTATCTTCATTCTGTTGACATCATTGTAGTAGGATTCTATCTTGATTCTGCTGACATCATTGTAGTAGGGTTCTATCTTCATTCTGTTGACATCATTGTAGTACAATTCTATCTTCATTCTGTTGACATCATTGTAGTACAATTCTATCTTCATTCTGTTGACTTCATTGTAGTAGGATTCTATCTTCATGCTGTTGACATCATTGTAGTAGGATTCTATATTCATGCTGTTGGCATCATTGTAGTAGGATTCCATCTTCATTCTGTTGACATCATTGTAGTAGGATTTTATCTTCATTCTGTTTACATCATTGTAGTAGGATTCTATCTTTATTCTGTTGACATCATTGTAGTAGGATTCTATCTTCATTCTGTTGACATCACTGTAGTAGGATTCTATCTTCATTCTGTTGACATCATTGTAGTAGGATTCTATCTTCATTCTGTTGACATCATTGTAGTAGGATTCTATCTTCATTCTGCTGACATCATTGTAGTAGGATTCTATCTTCATTATGTTGACATCATTGAAGTAGGATTCTATCTTCATTCTGCTGACATCATTGTAGTAGGGTTTTATCTTCATTCTGTTGACATCATTGTAGTAGGATTCTATCTTCATTCTGTTGACATCATTGTAGTAGGATTCTATCTTCATTCTGCTGACATCATTGTAGTAGGGTTTTATCTTCATTCTGTTGACATCATTGTAGTAGGATTCTATCTTCATTCTGTTGACATCATTGTAGTAGGATTCTATCTTCATTCTGCTGACATCATTGTAGTAGGATTATATCTTCATTATGTTGACATCATTGTAGTAGGATTCTATCTTCATGCTGTTGACATCATTGTAGTAGGGTTTTGTCGTCATTCTGTTGACATTCTTGTAGTAGGATTTTATCTTCATTCTGTTGACATCATTGTAGTAGGATTCTATCTTGATTCTGCTGACATCATTGTAGTAGGGTTCTATCTTCATTCTGTTGACATCATTGTAGTACAATTCTATCTTCATTCTGTTGACATCATTGTAGTAGGATTCTATCTTCATTCTGTTGACATCATTGTAGTAGGATTCTATCTTCATGCTGTTGACATCATTGTAGTAGGATTCTATATTGATGCTGTTGACATCATTGTAGTAGGATTCTATCTTCATTCTGTTGACATCATTGTAGTAGGATTTTATCTTTATTCTGTTTACATCATTGTAGTAGGAATATATCTTTATTCTGTTGACATCATTGTATTAGGATTCTATCTTCATTCTGTTGACATCACTGTAGTAGGATTCTATCTTCATTCTGTTGACATCATTGTAGTAGGATTCTATCTTCATTCTGTTGACATCATTGTAGTAGGATTCTATCTTCATTCTGTTGACATCATTGTAGTAGGATTCTATCTTCATTCTGCTGACATCATTGTAATAGGATTATATCTTCATTATGTTGACATCATTGTAGTAGGATTCTATCTTCATTCTGTTGACATCATTGTAGTAGGATTCTATCTTCATTCTGTTGACATCATTGTAGTAGGATTCTATCTTCATTCTGCTGACATCATTGTAATAGGATTATATCTTCATTATGTTGACATCATTGTAGTAGGATTCTATCTTCATTCTGCTGACATCATTGTAGTAGGGTTCTATCTTCATTCTGTTGACATCATTGTAGTAGGATTCTATCTTCATTCTGTTGTCATCACTGTAGTAGGATTCTATCTTCATTCTGTTGACATCATTGTAGTACAATTCTATCTTTATTCTGTTGACATCATTGTAGTAGGATTCTATCTTCATTATGTTGACATCATTGTAGTAGGATTCTATCTTCATGCTGTTGACATCATTGTAGTAGGATTCTATATTTATGCTGTTGACATCATTGTAGTAGGATTCTATCTTCATTCTGTTGACATCATTGTAGTAGGATTCTATCTTCATTCTGTTTACATCATTGTAGTAGGATTATATCTTTATTCTGTTGACATCATT